GAGGGCCATAGAGCTCCCCAGGGATTATGTTCATTGTCTTTGGCTAACAGGAGTGCAGAATTAGGCATGCCTGAACTCAGACTCTCTTTGGGTAAGGCTTGCTGTGGCTGCTTTGGGGGATGCGAGTGTGTTTCCCAGGCCAATGGAGTTATGTTCCTAGGGGGATTATGGCTGCCTTTGCTACATCACACAGGACACCAGGGAAGTGAAAGAAAGATGGCAGCCCACAGCTGAAAAGGCCAGTCTCAATAGCATCGTGCCTCCCCAACAGCACTGAGTTTATTTCCAGGCAGTTGGTGAGCAGGACTGACAACCTTCCCCAGGCTACAAGCCTCCCAACTGAGAAAGCAAGACAACTCACAGTCCCTCAGCTGTCCCATGGAGCTTACAGTGGCAATGCACCTCCTTCAAAGGGTCTGTGGATTCTCTCAGTGGTATGTTTCTACGGTAGTTCCTGGAGCAAAAGTTGATAATATGGATCTCCACATGCTGCTCTGTCCATTCCAGTGGGAGTTGCAAGTTAGTCTACTTCCTATCCACCATTTTCTCCTCCACCACCAAAATGGTTTCAAAATTATTCTTCTATTGAAGGTTTTAGATCAGTTATCTTGATTAAAAATTTAAATAAATTTTTGTTCTCTTAGAAATTTAAATAAATTTCCAAAAAAATCATAGCAAACAGAGAGAACCTTTGCATGCATTCCCTTGAGATTGGTAGATAGTTGAAGATGACCACTACCATCACTAGTATTGGTGATCCTGGCAAAAATATATGGAAATAGAAAGAATAAGAGAGAGAATAAAACTCTCAATATTTCTGGAATCAACAAACTAGTAAAACTAACAATGGAGTTCAGGAAGACTACCAGATACAGGTTCAACTTACACAAATGAATAGCATTTCTCTACATTATAAATAATCTATTAGAAATATAATTTAAAAGTAGTATGAAAAACTAAGAAGCATTAATGGATTAACTTAACCAAGCATATGTACAACCTTTATGACGACATTTTTACAACACTATAAAGTCATAGAAGACCATCTGAATAAATGGAGATCCATTCCAACAAATAATGCAAAGATGCAAATTATCTCCTAATTAATCTATAAATTTAATACAATGTCAATCAAAATTTCATCTGTATTTGAGAAACTTGAAACTTACTCTAAAATCTATATGGAAAAATAACATACACCTAAGTAAATCCTGAATAAAAGAGGTTTGTTCTTCAAATATTAAGACAACTTTCAAGCCTATGATAATAAAAATAATATGATATTGTTTCAATAACTGAATAGACAAATATAACAGAATAGATTGGAGACTGATTAATGTATTTAAAGAAACTAAACATGAAATAATGATGGCAAAGCAACTCAAAGGGGGATCGTCGAATGGTTTAGTAGATGGTATTAATAACATTTTCTTTCTATATAAAGAAAAATTAAAAATGGATCTCTAGCTAATAGAATATAAAAATGCAAACTCTGGTCTGATTACAGATTTGAATGTGAAAAAAGAAACTTATAAACTTAACAGAAGATAATGCAGCAGAATGTCTTTGTGTCCAAGGGTTGGGAAGAACTTGATAAACAAAATTTCAAAAGCACAAACTATGAGGCCAAAATTCCATCGATTTGATCACATTACATCAAGGATTTCTGTTCAACAAAGGATATCACACACAAAGTTAATAAACTGGCAAAAGATATCTGCCATGTTTAAATCATAGAAGGGATTAATGACTAAAATATAGCAACTACCGAAAATAAAAAAGACAGCATCTAGAAACCCCAATTCACCAGCTAATTTCTTAACCATCAAAATAAACACAGAATTAGAAAACTACTCACCGTTTCCACTTTATCCAGCTGGTCCAAGCTACCATCATCTCTTACCTGAATTAATCCAGCCACCTTTGCCACTACTTACTGTATAACTCACTCTTTGAGTGATCTCATCCATATTATGACTTTAAATATCATCTACATGCTGATGACTCTCAAATTTCATTAAATTAAGATAGCTAGATCTGCAGCACAGACCCTCTACTAACTCACATATCCAGCTTACCTAGTTGCAGGCATAGGTCCACTTACCACATGGAAAGGGGCAGTGCAATAGGGAGTGCTGAGATAAAAGAAACAGTAATCCTGCCCACTGGTAAGACATTTCCAGCGAACATTTTAGGTTCTGACTAATCAAATTAACATCTTTCTTGTCTGAAGCTGATGGAGGTAGAAGGCAGAAGTGTGCAGTTAGTAATAGACTAGCATTATCTGTATTCCCATTGCTACTGACAAAGGCAGAAGCGTGGGTCTGTTTCATGAATGTTTGTTTTGTCCTATTGATTTTTATTTACAGTATCATGTCACTTTAATTATTGTATCTTCATCTTCATAATATGCTATACTATTGGGTTATGCTAGTATGATTTCATTAGTATTTTTTTTAAGTGTTTTGGCTTTTCTTGCTCAGGTATTCTTTATTTTTCCAAATGAACTTTGCATACAATAATTTCATTGCAGTACAAAAATATATCCAGTTGTAGTTATACAAAATAATAAAATACCTAGGAATAATAAAAATACCTAGTAAAAATTTTAACCAAAGAGATGAAAGATCTCTACAATGAAAGCTACAAACACTGATGAAAGAAATTGAAGAGGATATAAACAAATGAAAAAATATCAAAATAATTAATATCATTGAAATGACCATATTGTCCAAAGCAATCTGCAGATTCAATGCAATTCCTCTAAAAATATCAATGTCATACTTAACAAAACTTTTCAAAAATTTGAACATTTATATGACACCAAAAAAGAGCCCAAATAGCCAAAGCAGTCCTGAGCCATAAACAAATAAACAAATAAACCACTGGAGGCATTACATTACCTGACTTCAAAATATATTAAAAGGCTATGGTAACCCAAACAGCATGGTATAAAAATAGACACATAGACCAATGAAACAGAATAGAAAATCTAAAAATATTGCCACATATTTACAATCAACTGATCTTTGACAAAACTGACAAAAAGTTACATTGGAGAAAGAACATCCTCTTTAGTAAATAGTGCTGAGGAAATTGGATAGCCGCATGCAGAAGAATAAAACTAGACCTCTATCTCTCACCATATACAAAATTATCTTACAATGGATTAAAGACTAAAATGTCAGATGTGAAACTATAAAAATAGTAGAAGAAAACTGGAGAGAAACTCTCCTGAACATTGGTTGAGTCAAAGAATTGATGACCTCAAAAGTACAGTTGATAAAAGCAAAAATAGGCAAATGGGGCTATATTTAACTAAATATTGCACAGCAAAGGAAATAACAGAGTGAAAAGACAACCTGTTGAATGGGAGAAAACAATTACAAAGTATTGATTTGGCTGGGGACTAATACTAGAATACCAAGAAACTCAAGCAAGTTAAAAGGAAAAAAAAACACATTAAAACGTGGGTAAAAGACATGAATAGACATTTCTCAAAATAAGACATACAAATGGCCAACAGGTATATGAAAACATGCTCAACATTACTAATTATCAGGGAAATGCACATTAAAACCACAATGACAGATCATCTTATCCTAGTCAGAATGGCTATTACTAAAAAGACAAAAAATAATAATAATAACAGATGCTGGCAAGGATGCAGAGAAAAGGGAACTCTTACACACTATTGGTGGAAATGTAAACTAGTGGACGCACTATAAAACGTGGTACAAAAACTTCTAAAAAAACTAAAAAATTACTATTCAATCCAGGAATGTCACTACTAGATATTTACCCAAATGAAAAGAAATCAATATATCAAAGGAATACCTGCACTTATATATAGCACTATTCACAATAGCAAATATATGAAATCAACCTGTGTTCATCAAGGGATGAATGGATAAAGAAAATGTGGTATATATACACAATGGAACACTATTCAGCCATAAAAAAGAATGAAATCATATCATCTGCAGCAACATGGATGCAAATGGAGGTCATTATCTTAAGTAAAATAAATCAGACCCAAAAAGACAAATATTGCATTTTCTCACTTATATGTAATAGCTAAAACCTTTGATCATATGGAAATAAAGAGTGGAAAGGTAGATAACAGAGACTGGGAAGGGTGGTGAGTGTTAAAGAAAGGGAAAGATGAAGAAAACTGATTTAAAGGGTAAAAATATACAGTAAAATGGAATGAATTCAATGTCTGATAGCAGATTAAGATTACTATACTTAACAAAAATATATTATACTCGGATGATGGACACTATACATATTCTGACTTGATCATTATACGTAATATACATGTAACAAAATTTCTCACATACTTCTTACATTTGTACAAATAAAATAAAATATCCAACTGTGATTGGATATAGTAGTTAGAACTACTTTAAACCTATACATTATTTAAGATAGATTACCTCCTCTTAAATAGTAGTATGTTCCAAAGTTTCATTCTCAGCTAATATCATTGTCACTTTACACACTATCTCACTGGGTGATTACATACATATCATGATTTCAACTACCATCCATTGTAATTACTTACAACTGCTAAACCTCTATGTCTATCCCAGGTGTCTCTTCCAAGTTACAGATCCATATCTCAAACTGATGATAATCTCCTATCCATACAGCTGTCTCATTTCCACCTGGAGTGTGGTGGCATGATCTTGGCTCACTGCAGCCTCCACCTCCTGGGTTCAAGAGATTCTCCCGACTAAACCTCCTGAGTAGCTGGGACTGCAGGTGCACGCCACTGCACCCAGCTAATTTTTGTATTTTGGGTAGCCATGTTGACCAGGCTAGTCTTGAACTCCTGACCTCAAGTGATCCACCCGCCTCAGCCCCTCAAAATGCTGGGATTATAGGAATAAGCTACCACTCCAGTCTGAAGTACATAATTTTTAAAGGAACAATCCAGAAGCCTGAAGCAGAGGTGATGCATGTCCTTTGTTCTTTCACTAAGTGTCCTCACTCACCAGGCTCAGCAGCCAGTGGCCAGCCGGTAGTAGATTCTAGCACTCCATGAGCATGAACAGAGTAGGGGCGGCTGGCATTATTCTTGAATACCACAGTCAGGATATCACCAACTTCTCCTTTGATAAGTGGACCTAATGTAAACAAAAATAAGTAAATAAATAGTTTCATTAATGAAGGAGTAGGACAGGGAACATTAAAGAAAGGGACATACATGGGCACTTCATAGAATTAGGAGTTTACCCTGAAAAAACATCCTTCTAAGACCTAGAAGGCATGGCTGGCTCCATTTTTAGATTCAGAAGTCCTTAAACTGTTACTATTACCCACAGGATGAAGGTACTTCAACGACAAGATTATACTTTCAATTACCTCCACTTTTCCCACCCCTACCCTCTATCTATAACAGCCCTAAGGTCTAAAGAATCAAGGTGCTGTGGAATCATTGATGATAAGGAGTGATAAGTTTGGCAGACAATATAGAATTGAGAGGATCTCTTCAGGAGTCAATGGGTCCCTTCTGTACCATAACTAGAATAAGGGGGAAAACACCTAAAGCAATAGTTAAACAGGGGTACAATGAAAAAACTGATTCCTTGTATATATATATTTTTTTCACTTTTTGATATTCCTAAGTTCTCCTGCCCCTAGCATTTATTACAACTTACCATCCTCAGAAACTCATACCTTGAAGATATAGAAAACCCAGTAAAACCTGGTTCATGTTGCAGCAGAATTCATGATTTCCTTCCTCCTCCTTCACTGTTTATTGTCGTGATTGTTTCATAAAATATTCCATAATTCCAGTGTATCATATGAAAACACTGAGAATGGGGAATAGTGAGGCCATCCTGGTACAACATAGCTGCCCTAGGTGCAGATCAGGCTGTTAAACATTAGGAGGAAAGTGGAATTCCCTTACCCAAGATTCCCAAGTGTTCTTCTGGTCCAGTCCTTGGCCGAGGGATCCTGAATGTACCATCAGTGTATTCCCTGAATACAGCTTTCTTGTATCTGGAACCCAGGAGCCCATCCTTGTTGTTCAGGAAAATGTAACCATAACTAGAGGAATCCAAAGAGTACTATCAGCACCTGGCCATCCACCCCTCATTTTCATTTGAATATTTATGGAGAAGCTAAGTCAGAACCAGCTTCATATCACAGATAGAAAAAAAAAGTGGGGGATATATTTCTTTTTTTTCTTTTTAAAAAATTTTATTTATTATTATTTTTTTTTAGAGGGAGTTTCACTCTTGTTGCCTAGGCTGGAGTGCAATGGCACGATCTTGGCTCACCACAACTTCCACCTCCCGGACTCAAGCGATTCTTCTGTCTCAGCCTTCAGAATAGCTGGGATTACAGGCATGCGCTCCCATGCCCGGCTAATTTTTGTATTTTTTAGTAGAGATGGGGTTTCTCCATGTTGGTCAGGCTAGTTTTGAACTCCTGACTTCAGGTGATTCACCCGCCTTGGCCTGCCAAGGTGCTGGGATTACAGGCGTGAGCCACCACTCCTGGTCCCTATTTCTTCTAATGTCAGACTTCTCACCACATTGGCTGCATAATCACAATTAAAGATGGCAGGTATGCCATACACGGTGGCTCATGCCTGTAATCCCAGCACTTTGGGATGCTAAGGCTGGTAGACTGCTTAAGCTCAGGAGTTTAAGACCAGCCTGGGCAACATGGCAAAACCCCATCTCTACTAAAAATAAAAATTAAAAAAATTAGCTGGGTGTAGTGGCTTGTGCCTGTAATCCCAACTACTTGGTTGGCTGAGGCACAAGAATCCCTTGAACCTGGGAGGCAGAGGTTGCTGTGAGCCAAGATCATGCCACTGCACTCCAGCCTGGGCAACAGAGTGAGGCTTTGTCAAAAAAAAAGAAAAAAGAAAAAAGGATGGCGGGTTTCCTTGTTTGCCATCATCCAGATAGAAATTTGGTATATAATTAATACTTCAAGAGAACTGAGCTAAGAATCAGAAGCCACAGACTTTAGCTGCAGCCCTAATGATGTCTTGATGAAATCAGTTTTACAAAAGGGCAAGGTACAAGGTGGCAGGAAAGCATTAACTATGGTGAGGCATAGGAAGGGAATGAAATCTTACAGATTTTATCCTTATAGGATTCTGTCTAGTTTACAAACAGATTTGTCATTTGACATTTCTAATAGGCCTATGGGGTTTAGGTAGGTGCCAGAGGTGTAATCAGTTGCACAGAGATGGCAGGACTTATTCTACAAGAGACACTGTTAGCCAGAAAGTGAGCCAGGATGTAGATTCAAGCCTGCTGCTCCTTCCCTCCCTTCTTTTCTAATCCTGTTCTTTCATCTTATACAGCATAATTTTCAAGATGAGTATACTCAGGCTCAGAGAGAGGAAGTCACTTTTAAAAATTTCCAAAAACTGAAACAATTCAGAAGCAAAATCAAATAACCCCATTAAAAATGGGCAAGAAATGGGTGTGGCAGTGTGTGCCTGTAGTCCCAGCTAATTGGGAGGCCAAGGCAGGAGAATTGCTTGAACCCGGGAGGCGGGGGTTGCAGTCAGCCGAAATCAAGCCACTGCACTCCAGCCTGCGTGACAAAGTGAGACTCCATCTCAAAAAAAAAAAAAGCAAGAAAAATAAATCATTCTACCAAAAAGACACATGCACTCATATGTTCATCACAGCACTATTAACAATAGTAAAGACATAGAATCAACCTAGGTGCCCATCAATGGTGGACTGGATAAAGGAAATGTGGTACTTATAAACCACGGAATTCTACGCAGACTTTAAAAAGAATGAAATTATGTCCTTTTCAGCAACATGGATGTAGCTGGAAGCCATTAATTTCTCAGCAAATGAATGCAGGAATAGAAAGCAAAAATGTTCTCACTTATACATTGGGTACTTATGGACATAAAGATGGCAACAACAGAAACTGGGATGGGGGGCAAGGGTTGAAAACCTATTGGGTACTATGCTTACTACCTATGAGATGGGATCTGTACCCCAAACCTCAGCATCACATAATACACCCATGTAACAAGCCTGCAAAGGTATCCCCATACCTAAAATAAAAGTTGAAATTAATTAAAAGAAAGATTTAACAAGAGACACTGGGGATTACTAAAGGGGGATGAGAGGATGGGGAAAATGGTTGAAAAACTAACTATTGGATAGTATGCTCACTACCTGGATGACAGGATCATTCATACTCTAAAACTTAGCATTGCACAATACACCCATGTAACAAACCTGCACATGTACTCCCTGAATCTAAAATAAAAGTCCAAATAATTTAAAAAAGTATTCTCACTTGGCCCTACCTGAATGCTAGCAACTAATAATACATTTTTAAAAATCTGATGTAAATATCTCTTTTCTGGTTTCTTTTTTTTAAATTAAAAGATCTTGTTAGATGTTTCTCACTGGTTTCTGATCAGAAACAAATGACAGGAACTAAAGAAATAACTGATTTGATACCATTCCTTCTGAAACTATTCCAATCAATAGAAAAAGAGGGAATCCTCCCTAACTCATTTTATGAGGCCAACATCATCCTGATACCAAA